AATGATTATGGATTTCAAGATGGCAAGAGCAGAACCTTAAGCCAAGTGACAGCCTGTGCAAGCGTGGGCTTTCCCAGCCGCAACCCGCGCTGTCCCCCAACTCATTCTAAGACCCAGGAGTCCCGTCTTCCATCCCCACACCACTCCTGTGGGCTCATCACTGCTCTCAGCAGGAGGTTTCGAGGACTCCAGAAAGGTGAAAGTGAGAGTCGCTCCGTCGTGTCTCTTTGAGACCCCATGGACCATAGAGTCCATGGGATTCTCCAGGCCAGGATACTGGAGTGGGTAGCCTTTCCCTTCCCCAGGGGAGCTTCCCGACCCAGGGATGGAACCCAGGCGGTAGCCCCAGTCACATCTCATCGTCATTGGTTGGCTGCCGCCATGTTTTCGCAGCCAATGAGAGAGGGAGGCGTGGGCGTGTCCGGCGAGGGGGCGGGGCTAAGGCGCACTGCGGGCGAGGCTGGCGCACCTGGGCTGCGAGGGCAGGTGTCCGCCCCAGATACGCTCAAGGGAATAAAGCTACCATTGTTTTATTCTGTTTCATTTCCTCTCACCACTGCAGACGGCCCCCAGCAATCCTATCTTATCTTCTATGACTCAGTGCAGATGTGAGAACTCCTTTCCTGTACTTTGGAAATTATGTACAAATAAAAGGTAATATCATGTAGCTTAAGAGACAGACATGGGAAACATCTCCTCCGCTTTAAAATTTGGAACAGAAGACACGAAACTCAGTTGAATAACTGCAATGTTTGTGACCTGAATTCATGCGTTCAATACCATTCTTTTGAGTAAGATATTTTACACATAAAAATCTCTTAGTGAATTGGGAGAGGAAGGGGAGAAATGAGAGGGGTTTTTGCGTATGTGCGTTCAAAGAGAGGAATTCTATTCAAGTGTTTTATGCAACAGTTACACACGAGTGTAAAAAAAGTATTTTTTCTGTTTTAAAGAATGATAAACAGAAAACTTCATGATACTTACACAAATGAAAGAAAAAGATCTCAGTAGGTTCCCTAAAGGCTTCCCCTTAGCTGAGCAGCAATTTTTTCCTTTTCCTCCAGCCAGCTCTGCGCCCACCCTGAGGGTAACCACTAGCTGACACCTGTGTTAGTTAATCACCTACATCTCCTTATGTTGTGCCACTTGTGTGGTGCATGGTAAACAGCAGCATGTTTAGTGTGCCTGGCATCGACCCCAATGTAAATGGATGACACATGTGTATACGCACACATCATTTGTTTCTTTCCATCAAGTTGCTTTTGAGATAAATCCATGTTGATTACTAAAGGTTTTTCCAGTGAACGGATGGAAAAGTTGGACCATGAAGAAGGCCGAGCACTGAAGAACTGATGCTTTCGAACTGTGGTGCTGGAGAAGACTCTTGAGAGTCTCTTGTACTGCAAGGAAATCAAACCAGTCCATCCTAAAGGAAATCAGTCCTGAATATTCATTGGAAGGACTGATGCTGAAGCTAAAGCTCCAACACTTTGGCCACCTGATGCGAAGATCCAATTCACTGGAAAAGACCCTGATGCTGGGAAAGATTGAGGGCAGGAGGAGAAGGGGACGACAGAAGATGAGATGGTTGGATGACATCACTGATTCAATGGACATGAGTTTGAGCAAACTCTGGAAGATAGTGAAGGACAGAGAAGCCTGGCATGCTGCAGTCCATGGAGTTGGAAAGAATCGGACCACAACTTAGAGACTGAACAACATTCTGTTTCTTTTCCTATCCATATTCTGCCAATGTGGATATTGGGTTGTTTCCTGTCTGTGGCTCTTGTAACAGTCACAGTGCTGCTGTGAAATCTTTTCCCCAAGGCACCCATACGAACATTTCTTGTCTAGACTGTGCACCTGGGGGTGGAATTGCTGGGTCAGAAGGTACCCTTCCTGGGATGTCAATTGTATGTGTGAGTTGGCTGGGATGAGGGAGGCTGATGGCTGGTGAAACAAGGCTTCGGGTGTGTCTGTGAGGTTGTCTCCAGAAGACACTGGCATTGAAATCTGCAAATAGTGCAGACGGTTCTCACCAGGGAGGTCTGAACGAAATGGGGAGGTGGAAGTGGGTGAGTCCGCTCTGTGCCCGAGCTGGGCCTCCACCTCCTGCTCTCAGTCATCAGGGGTGCAGGCTTCTGGGCCGCTGCAGTCACACCAGGACGTACACTGTTGACTCCTGGGGTCCAGCTCCCGGGACTTCGAGTCTGGGCTGGAACACACCCCGCTCCCCTGGGCCTCTAGCCTGCAGGTGGCCTCCACAACCAGCCTCCCCAGCCCCTCAGGGTAAGCCTCTTCCTATCCATCCGTATGTAACCTCTTGGTTCTGTCTCTCTGGAGACCCTCACCCACGCTATCGCCACGCTCCACCTGCTCAGGTAACGGGGGACTTTCTCCTCTCCAGTTGTTCAGCACAGGCTCTCAGGTGTGAGGGCTTCAGTAACCATGGCTCCTGGGCTCTCAAGTGCAGGCTTAGGAGTTGTGATGCACAAGCTTTGTTGCTCCATAGCATGTGGCATTTTCCCAGCCCAGGGATGGAACCCATGTCTCCTGCATTGGTGGGCGGGCTCTCTATCACTGAGTCACCTGGGAAGCCCCTGAAGAGCCTTTATAGCCACGAATCATGGACAGTCTCCTTGGCGTGACGGGGCAGCAGGTCTCTTGTCTGTTCTGTGGCTTATTCGTTCATGTTCTACGGACAGTCTCACTGGCGTGACTGGGCAGCAGGTCTCTTGTCCGTTCTGTGGCTTATTCGTTCATGTTCTTTGTTGACTTTTGATAAAAGATGTTTAATTTTCATACACATTATTTTTTTTTCTTTTATGGCTTTGCTTTTGGAATCTTACGAAAACCTTCCCTACCTCAAAGTAATAAGGTATTTTCCTATTCTAGCATTTCCTAAGATTTAGTTTTGCCACTTACATATAAATTCTTAATACACCTGGAATTCATTTCCATGTTTAGATTAAGGTAGGGACTCAGTCTCACTTGGTTGGCCAGTTGTCCTGGAACAGCACAGTAAACACTTCATCCCTTCCTGCTGATCTCTAATATCCACTGTGTCACGAATCAAGTTTCCAAACAGGACTGGGTTTATTCTTCCTGGTCTTCCGTGTATCTCTTGATATACCCAAACCATAGTGCTCTAGTTACTATGACGATAATAAGCCTTGACATTTGATAGGGCAAATTTCCTCCTTTCTTTTTTACTCTTCTTCACAAATTTTCAGTGTTTTGTTTTTTTTTGACCCTTTGTTCACCCACATAAATGTTAGAATCACTTTGTCAATTTGTGTGAAAAAACCTGTTGGAGTTTTTATTGAAAATGAACTGAATCTATAAATGCATTTGCAGACAGTTGATTGATGTCTTTGTAATATTATCTTCCTAGCCAGTGATGTAGTCTGTCCATTTACTTATGCCATTTAAAATGTCCTTCAAAAAAGTTTTATAGTTTTTCCACTGAGCATATTTTATTAGATCTATTCCTAGGTATTCTACTTGTTGCTATTCTAAATGATGGACTTCCCTGGGGGCTCAGTGGTAAAGAATCTGCCTACCAATGCAGGAGACACAGGAGAGTTGGGTTTGATCCCTAGGTTGAGAAGATACCCTGGAGAAGGAAATGGCAACCCACTCCAATATTCTTGCCTGGGAAATCCCATGAACAAAGGAGCCTGGCGGGCTATAGTCCATGGGTAAGAGTTGGATGTGATTTAGCAACTGAACAACAACAACTGTCCTTGTGGTTCTGGCATCAGATTTGACTAAACTTATTTAATAAGGTGAAAAAACCCCTTCTTTTCTAGTCTCTGGGGAAGATTGTTAAGATTGCAAATGTTCCTGAAACATTTCTACCTATCAGACTTCTGGGCTCTTTTCTTTGTGGGAAAATGCTTAGCAACCAATTGAATTTCTTCAACGGTATAGGACTACTCAGGCTTTATGTCTCTCCTTGAGTCTGTTTTGGTCAATGGTTTTATCTAGGAATTCACACATTCTGTTGAAATAATTAAATGTCTAAACGCCATGTTAAATAGTAGCTTTTGTCTCTGTTGAATCTGTGATATGCTCTCTTCTTCATTCCTAATGTTTATTTTTGCTATTGCTTGTTTCACTTGATTAAATCATAACAGAAGTTTGTCAGTATTATTAACCATTTCAAAAAGACAGTCTTCGAATTATTTTCCTGTTGAAAAATGGGTGCTATAAATCACTGGTTCCTGCCCTTCATTGTTTTCTTCTAAGTTATTCAAAGCTTAAAAAAAAATTTTTTAGAGCTATTTGCTCTATTTTTTAAAAAGGTCGTTTCATTTATTAGGGAGTTCCCTGGCTGTCCAGTGGTCAGGACCCTCGCTCTCACTGCCAAGAGGCCCAAATTCCATCCCTGATTGGGGAACTAGGATCCCCAGGATTTGCACAGGATTTGCTCAGACAGAGGTGGGCAGAAGACACGGGCTGGGGCTCAGGGAGGTCTCTCCACCATGCAGAGCCTCAGGACAGGCTCAGCTTTCACACCCTTGGAACTAACTGCAGAAGAGCCCAGTTCCAGCCCAACTCTTCCCTCCAGCCAGAAACCCGTCCTCCCCCCACCCATCACCCCCTCCTCCCCCCCCCGCCCCCACCCCAAGTCCTGGCACAGAGACTCTGCAAGGGAAATCAATCTCTCCCCAGCGTGCAGACCCCAAATTCATTTGTAGATGGTTTGCCTGTGTTAGCCAGCGTTTTAATGAAGAAACAGCATACAGAAAGCATCTCCCCCTAGCATGCATGCATCCACACACACACACAAACACACACATGCCCTCCAGCCCCCGCCCCACCCAGGTCCTCTGACCCCTTGCTTTCCCCTCACCGTAGGCACACAGACCTAGCTCTTCCCGCCCTCCCTCTAACAGCCCAGCCCAGGGTATGGAGGACCTGGGCTCCATCCTGCAGACAGATCCCTGCCTTCTGATCTCCCAAGCCGGAGCCTCGCGGCCACGCTGTCCAGTGACTCAGCTCAAGGCCGGGAGTCTGAATGCCCTCTTCCTCTTTGTCTTCCCCGAAGCCTCCACGCCTCCCTGGAGGAGCTTCCCCCTCGCTCGCCTCCCCCTGAGGCTCTGGGCATGGCCAGCATCCTCCACCCCCTTGGACGGGCTCCACAGGCTGGCATGGTGTGAGGAGTGCATCTTCCGGGACCCACGGTCATCCAGCGGCTGCGGGGCTGGGCAGGGCCATTCCAGGGTGCGGCACGGCTCATCCGTGGGTTCTGCAAGACAGAGGACCAGGCTGCCCGGCTTGTCCCGAGGTCAACACAGCCCCGCGGGGGCCAGGCCCGGGAGCTCTGCTCTGGGGCCGCAGCCACCAGATGCTCTCTGAGTTTGGGCCAGGTTCTTCTTCCCCGGCCCCTAGAGTCCCCAGACACTAGTGTGCACATGAGCCAGACACTTCGCAATGTTCCTCCCCAGGGTTGAAAGGGTCATCTCTGCACAAAAGTCAATTCTGAATAAATCAGAATGTTAGGAGCTACTTTTCCTTCTTGCTTTTCAAAATATAAGATGCTATGGGGGGGGGGGCGGGCGGGGAATGTTTTCTTATTAACACACATTATTTGCCTCACTGAAAAGGAGACTGTTGAGGAGAGAGCTGTGTGGCCTGGGGGCACTACGTGTCCGTCTCTGGGCATGTTCATGAAGGCGCATCACAGCTTTCTCTCTCATTCAAAACAGGGGCGGACCTGTTCTGGGACACTTAGGTGGGTGGCATCAGCCCCTCAAACCAAGAGCTGCTCACCTGTGACTTGCCCACCGTGGCTTACAGATGACAAACCAGGGCCCCAGGAGGACCGGAGGCAGACGTTAAGTCAGGGAGTTCACAGAGAGCTGGGCTGCGAAGCTGCCGGCCTGGCCCCAGCCCACCCTTCCAGGGCACTCCCTGAAGGCAGCTTCCCCCCCCCACCCCCAGTAAGCTCAAGCCCGAGCCGGGCAGCCTCACCCACGACGATGAGCGTGGCGGTGCTGACTGCCTGGCCCAGCGTGTTCTCGGCCACCGCTTTGTACTGGCCGCCGTCCGTGGCGGAGACACTGGGGATGACCAGTGAGCACACGCCCATCACGTCGGTGGTGTACGCCGAGGGGTGGTTGGCCAGGCTCTGGTCGTTCTTGAACCAGGAGACGTGGGGGCGCGGCTGGCCCTGCACAGCGCAGGTCATGCAGCACTCGCTGCCCAGGGGCAGCAGGTGGGGACGCAGGCCCACCAGGAAGCGCGGCTTCTGGCTCAGGTCCGGCTCGCGGTAGCTTAAGCCCCTTGCCGTGACTTTGTCTGCCGTGCGGAAAGCGGAGGGTCAGAGAGCCGGAAGGGCAGTGGGGAGCCGTGGGTGAAGCTCCTGGTGGAGGCGGGCGTTCCGGGACTCCCTGACATCTCGCCTGCAAACTTGACCGCAAGGCTGCTGCACTTATTTTTTTATCCTTTTTTCAAAAATTTCTTTTTGACTTTTTTTTCCTGTACTACAAGCTAACACACACGCACTGTGGGCAAATTGGAACACAGAAGAAATCAAAAGAAGGAATGAAAACTGAACACGACCTAACTACCTACGGATGACTACAGCTAACATCTGAGAGTGGAACCTTCGGACACTTTTCCATTTTAGAAAATCGTGAAATTTAGAAATTGTGAAAACGTACGTCTGATTTAGGGCCTGATTTTTCGGGCGACTGCTTTGAAGTTTGGAATCTATCTGACCGCAAAGGACTGTTCTCAGAGAAGCACTGACCTCTGTCTACCGTATTGCCTGCCTCTGACTTGAGAAGCCCCCAGAGCCCGCAGGCACCGGCTCTCGAGTTCTCCCCGCAGAGGCGGAGCCTGAGGACAGGGGCGGGGACCCCCCTCCAACCCCGCCCCTGGCGCCCTGGACCCGGAGCTCACCCGGAGGCTGACGCGGGACGACCCAGGGCTGGCGCGTGTCTGAGGGCTCGCTGGCGCCCAGCTCGTTCTTGGCCACCACGCGGAAGTGGTACTCGTGGCCCGGGAGGACGCCCACCAGGGTGAAGCGGCAGTTGTGCAGGCGCTCGGCCGCCGGACACCAGGGTGCGTGGGCCGAGGTGCGCATCAGCACGGCGTAGTGCAGCGGCGCGGCGCCCGCCTCCGTCTCGTCCGGGGACGGCTCCCACTCGATGGTCACCGAGCCCAGCGTGCCCTCCCGCAGGACGATGGGTCCTGGCGCCCGCGGGCGCGCTGTGGGGACAGAGCGGGCAGGCTGGGGCTCGTGTGCGCCTGACTGGGCCCGGGGCCCCTGCTGGGCCCTGCCCGGGGCACCAGTCTGGCCTGGGTTCCCATATCCTAAGTCCTGCCCAAATCCCTGAGTCCTGCCCACGTCTCCCCATATCCTGCCCTGGGCCCCAGGCCTGCCCAGGTTCCCATATTGTGCCCAGGTTCCCATATTATGCCCAGGTTCCCATATTATGCCCAGGTTCCCATATCCTGCCAGGGCCTAAGTCCTGACCCAAGTCCCTGAGTCGTGCCCAGGTCTCTGAGTCCTGACCTGAGTCCCTGAGAACTGCCCCGTCTCCCCATGTCCTGCTCCAGGGCCTGAGTCCTGCCTAAGTCCCTGAGTCCTACCCTGGTCCCTGAATCCTGCCTGGGTTCCCAAATCCTTCCCATGTCCCCGTCTTCTTCCAAGGCCCTGGAGACACAGTCTCCCCAGGCAGGGGAACCAGAGACAATTGGGCCAGTCCTGCAGTTACTGCTGGCGGGTGGGAAGCCTCTGAAGAGACTCATGGGGATCCACTTTGGCTTGTTGGTAAGTGACACAGGATTCGGGGACAGAGCAGGGCTTCCGTAAGACCAAGTCACCGAGCCCCCAACTGTCAGCTGGTGGCTGGTTCTGGGTTTGAGAAACCCCTCGGGGCTGGGCCAGGGGCCCACCCTCATCCCAGGTGAGGACCGTGGACAGCTCTTCCCCATGCTCCTTGGGCCGATGGGGTGGCGGTGACTGTGCTCCCTGACCCAGAGGAGGGACAGCCTCCTGAAGACTGCTCAGCTGTCCCCAGGCGCCTGGGCAGGGGGACGGTGAGGCCCCCTCCCCCGGCCCCTCCCGCTCTCCCCCTCCGGTAGGCGCAGAGGAAGGGTCTGGGAGCGGCCCGTCCGAGTCCAGCCCGGGGCAGGCCGGCCTCACCTGCCACCCTGAGGCGGAGGCTGTAGGTGGCCTCCTCCCCTCGCGGGCTCCTCAGCACCACGGTGTAGGCGCCGCTGTCACTGAGGCTGGCCGAGGGGATCAGGAGCTGGGTGAGGCCGTCCTTGACGGAGGCCACACTCCGCTTAGGCAAGGGCAAGCCGTCCTTCAGCCAGGTCACCTCCGGGGTGGGCGCTGCCTGGACACGGAGGAGAGGGGAGGAGAGGGGCTGAGGGGGAGCTTGGTGGGAGGGACGGCTCTGCGCTGGGCTGAGCTGTGGGCGCGAGGAGAGGCGCTGGGGCGGAGCTGGCCCGGGAGAGGCTGGTGGACAGGTGGGCATGGTGGGGTTGGGGGAAGTGAGCGGGTGAGGCAGAGGCGGGGCGGCGGAGGGGGTAAGGGCCTTGCACGTCGCACGCGTGCAGACACCTGGGCTTCGTTTTGTGGGGTTTGACCAGGAAAGCATGATTGGATCTGGGTTCACGGCACTGGGGGCACAAGGGCAGGGGGCAGTGGGGACCACTCGTGGGAGGAGAGTACTGACCAGCTGGTGCCCAGGCCCGAAGGGCCAGTGACTCGGGGGTCCCTGCAGGGGACGGGGGCCTGACCCTGCCTGGCGGCCGGGACCCCCTCTCTCGGCACTGGACGTGAGTCACCTGGGGCCACGAACAGTGACCGACCTCACGGGCTTGTCTGAGAGCCCGAGAAGTGACTGATACACGGGCAGCTCAGAGAACAGGGCCCGAGACAGGACAGACAGTGCGCCTTTCACGTTTCTGTCGTCGTTACCCCTGTCATCATCGTAGTCTAATAGTTAAGAGCACGTAATTTAGAGACAGATTGGGGTTTGAATCAGGCTCTGTCACCTGTGAGCTTCCTACAGATGATGGTTGTAACAACAGCAATAGCAACGGTAATAGGCAATACATCCTGGTTCTTGCCACCTGCCCAGCACTGTTTATGTGCTTTCAAGTACGGATCCCTTGAGTCCTTGGGACACCTCTTTGAGATGTTACTCCTGTTAACCCCGTTTGACAGAGGACGTGGGAACACAGAGGTTGAGATATGTGCTGAAAGTCAAACAGCTAGTGTGGACTGGGGTCGGAATTTGAATCCAGGCCACCTGTGCTTCTAACCACCCTGGTCGCTCAACCACGTGCCCACAGACAGGTGCTGCTGCTGGCAGTCGTCCTGAGTCAGAGGCAGGCCGCGTGCTCACACAGCACACTTCTGAAGGCAGGCACCCCCTTCCCAGACCAGGGTGAAGTAGGGGTGGGCTTGGAGGCGCAGTCCCAGGAGCCACCACCAGAGGGGCTGGCGGATGGGAGTGGAGCGGCAGCCAGTGCTCAGCTCACAGCTGTCTGCAGGGGGACCTGGCCCCCCACTGCTGGACTTCCAGCAAGGGCCCAGGTCCCCAAAGGGCAGGGAAGAAAGGAGACCCTCGGGGCTGACACTGCCCTGCAGCTTGACACGTGTGCTCACCTCAAAGTAGACGGGCACGCGGACCGTGTCCCCAGCTCTGACGGTCAGCAAGTCCTTCATGCTGGCGTCCATGCGGAACTTGGGGCGGACTGGAACACACGGGGTGGCCTGTCAGCTCCCTCTGCACTTGGGCCCCAGCCCTGGTCACGGCCGGGCAGGGCTGCAGGGGGACGCTGGGCAGCCCAGGAATGCTGAGACCCCGTGGGACATTGGATGAGGGCCTTGCGGGACCTGGAGGGGGGCTAGGGGGGATTCCTGCAGGGGAGCTGTGGGGGGCAGCCTCGGGGTCAGGCCGGCACGGAAATACTCCTGTGTCTTGTGATGAGACAACGACCCACTTGAGGCAAGAAGTGGCCGGAGAGCCCTGGAGCAGGGGCAGGGCCAGGACAAAGCTCTGGGCTCTGGACACAGACTCGGGGCGCTCTTCTCTGTGCATCCCCCGTAAAGTCACACGGACACCTGGGCTCCACTGGGATGGCCCAGTGTCAGCTTGGGCCAGAGAGGCCAGCTGCTCCAGCAATGAAAGCCCCCCGGGGAGAGAAGGTCCAGCTTCCAAGGAACGGGGCCTGGGGGCCCTCTGCTCTGACGGGAGCTGGGAAGGAGCTGAGGGGCACCGGGCCCTCTCAGGAAGCAGCAGAGTTCTGGAGCGAGCCTGGGCCTTGGGGTCTGTCACCCCTACTCTGCCGAGCACCAGCGGCTGGGCCCAGGGCAGCGCACCCCTGACCCCTGACCTTGGCGTCCTCATCTGAAATCTGGGGAGAGTGCTGACTTGCACGAGCCGTAATGAAAATGCATTTCCGAAAGGCCTCCCTAGCCCAGTGCCCTGCTCCTGCTAGGCGCCCAGGCTGTGAGCCTTCTCTGAACTGGGGAGGGGGTTCCTGGTCACCAGCTCAGAGGCCCCAGGAAGGGCCTGGCCCGGAGGAGGAGGGGGACTCACCCGAGACGGGCATGGCTTCCACCGCCGAGACCAGGGCCGTGGGCTGGCCGGGGCCCCCGTCGTTCACGGCTGTCACCCGCAGGAGGTAGCTCTCCCGGGGCCGCAGCCCCTTGGCCGTGTAGGTGGTACCCGGCACGGTGCCCGCGTGGCACGGGCTCCACTGCGGGCTGGCCGCGCCGCGCATCTCCACCACGTAGCCCTGCGGTTCGTCCCCATCCTGGCTGTCGGGCCGAGCCCAGCTCAGGGTGATGCTGGTGTGCGACGTATCCGTGACCTGGAGATCCCTCACGGGCCCCGGGGGTCCTGGGCGGGCAGCATGAGGTGTCAGGCATGGCATCACCTCTCCTGAGGGAGGCTCCTCAGTGGACCCTCCCTGGTGGGTGGCCGGGGGTTCCTTTCTCTTAAGCTCTTTGCAGAAGCCCCTGCCTGCACCCAAACCCTGACTCTGTCCTGGGCTCTTCCTGCGTCTGCACCGCCGAGCCCAGCTCTCCTCCTCCAGGAAGCCTCCCCCGACTCTTTCCACCCACTCGCCAACCTGCCGACCCCCTTCCCCTAACTCCTCCCATAATTCCTGAAGCCGCTGGTTTCTTTGACGGGTCCTTAGGTCCCAGGATCCCTAAAGGCTAGAATTCTGTGTCTTTCTGTTCCAAGCTTTAAGCGCCTGGTCCAGACTGCCTTGGTGCCTAGTCCATACTTGGTGCTTTTTACCTGTAAAATGGGCCCGTCTGCCTGCGAGGTTTTCACAGCAAAGCTGTGACATGTATAAAGGGCTTTGCAGGCTGCACAGTGGCCCAGGGCTCTGGCCTCCTAGCCTGGGGTACCACCTGGGGGGTAGCCCCCCAGACTCCTTGAGTCTCTCCAGGCCCCATGGCCAGCCCCCTTGGGGCCCGGCTGACACGGAAGGACGCCTCTGGCCGATCCAGGGGGCCAGGAGCTTGCTGAACCCCTGGGACTTGTCGGCAGTGGGCCCTTGAGGGTAGGAGCACAGGGGAAGTGGACAGGGCAGCCGTGTGCTGTGCAGACGCTTTGACGGGCGTTTTGGGGAAAGCTGTTCTGTGCTTGAATTTGGGAAATGTGGATCAAACAAGGCAGGGCAGCTTTCTCTCCTGGCATCCCGGCTGCCTGCCATGGGCACTGGGACAGTGCCGCTCTAGACCAAGAGTTTCCCAAGCCCGCACCTGCTTCCTGGAACCATGCCAGCATCCGGTAGGCGATGAGCGAATGGCAAATTGACGGTGAGGCTCCCTGTGACCCCCACCCCCCAGGGATGACGCCTCCTCGCTGGAGGCAGTGGGAGCTTGCAGGAAGCGAGCCAGGGAGAGGGCTGACCCAGGGACGTTCTGGGTGGGACTCTGCCAACCCCCACCTCTGGGCTGGCCCTGTCTCAGTGATGGCTCCCTAAATTATTCCTCACCCTCAAGGCCTCTCCACCTTCGTCCCTGGCCCCCCGCCCCGGTCACCGGGGGTGGGTACCCCACTTACTCATGGGGTCACGGGCGAAGACGGCCTCCGATGGGGGTCCAGGCTCTCCCCGGCCGGAGGGGGCCACGGCCGTGACCCGGAACTCATACTGCCAGCCCTGCTGCAGGTCCCCCACTGTCCACTTCTTCTCTGTGGGAGGCCCCTCCACATCAGTCCTGCCCGGCGGGGCCGGCGACGCCTGGACGGGACTGGCCTAGCCCCGCAGCTCCGCACACCCTGCTGCCCCGCCCAGGAGACCCGGTCCTCTCCCAGCGGGCGGGCGGGCGCCGTGCAGGGTCTCAGGGGCCCTGTGCAGTTCCGCCTCTGCCTTGCAGGGAAGGCTGGGGCAGGCACTCCCACCGCCCCGGCTGCTCACCGGGCACCGGCTTCTGGGTCACGGCCGCCCAGGCGCTGCTCCCCTTCTTGCGCTTCTCAACCAGGTAGCCGAGGATGTGGGCGCTGCCAGGGCCCCGGGGTGCCGTCCAGGCCAAAGTGACGCCCTGGCTGGAGGCCGACAGGATGGACGGCGGGGACGGGGGCCCGGGCCGAGCTGCGGGCGGAGGAGGTGCTGGTCGGCTGGGGATGGGTGAGGCCCCAGCTCCCAGGGGCGCCTGGTGGAGGAGGGGGCCCTGGGGGAGGCCACACGCAGCCCCTTTCAGGGGCGGCCAGGGTGGGAGCCAGCCTACACTCTGGGGACAGGAGTGATGGAAATAGGGAGGCACGGTGCCCTGGGGGATAAGAGCCAGCCCCGAGGCCCTGGGAGGAGCCCCAGAAGGAGAATGAGCCTTGGAGAACGGCTCTGCCGTCCACCCCGTCCCACAGAGTCACAGCTGGACAAGACCCCTGTGTCCTGCTCGCTGATTCAGCCACCAGGTACCAGAGAAGCTGGCCTCCCGCGCCTGGAGACCCCCCAGCGCGGGCTGGTGACCCCCAGCCTCTGGGCACAGCACGGAGCCCAGCGGCGCCCCCGCCCCGGCCCCCAGCTTCCTCTCACCCTCAGGTGCCACGAGCACCTCCTCGGACTCCAGGGCCTCGCTGGGCCCCTCTGCGGTCACGGCCCGCACGCGGTAGGCGTACTTCTTGCCCTGCTCCGTGTGGGCGTCCGTGAAGCTGGTGCTGTCCGAGCGGGGCTCGCCCACCTTCAGCCACGTGCTCCGGCCGGCCTGCCGCCGCTCCACCACGTACTGCTCCAGGGCCCGGCCGCCATCGTCCTTAGGGGGCCGCCAGCGCAGGTGCACGCCAGCCCCGTGGCCGTCCTGCACCTCCAGGGGGCCCTGCGGGGGCTGCGGCTTGTCTGGGGACCCCCGAGAGGAGTGGGAAGAGAAGGGGGATCAGAGGAGCCGCAGGGGAGCTGGACTCCGCCCTCAGTGGACACGCTTGCCTGCGGGGGAAGGCCTAGGCGGGCTTCACCTTGAGGGAGCCCTGGTCTCCACCCCCGGGAGTGACACCGAAGGCTCCCACCTGCAGGGGCTCCGGCCACAGGCGGTGCCCCCCGTGGCCGCGGGCTACAGAGCGGAGCCTCCCTGCCTGGGCGCTCTACATGGACCATGAGGAGCCTGACTGAGTGACTCCAGGCGGGGGCCATCCCCCGCCGCCGACACCTCTAGGAGACACCCGGCCAGTCTCCCCCGCCGAGGAGCCGCCCCGGGTTTGTCTAAATTTAGACAAACTTAGACAATCAGCGTGAGGAGGGCGCGCCCAGCTCGGGTGGGCTTGGTCTTGGGGAGCGTGCACACAGGGGTCAGTGTCATGGGGGCGGGACGGGCGAGGGCAGGCTGGCACCTAGGACCTGCAGGGTGAGCTCGGCCTGCGTGGAGCCGCCCTGGCTCCTCAGGGTGACGCTGTACTGGCCACGGTCCTGCCTGCTGGCGCTGGGGAGGCACAGCCGCGTGAAGCCGTCCCCCACGGCCACCTGGGCGCCGCGGCCACTGCCACCGGCCACCTCCTCCCCGTCCTTCCTCCAGGTGGCCTGGACCGGGAGGCAGCTCTGGAAGGGGACCTTCATGGTCACCGGCTTCCCAGCCTTGACCACCAGTGGCTCCCGCAGCTTCGCAGAGACGTCTGGAGCGATGACCGGGGGATCTGGGGAGCACAGAGCCCGGGAGTCAGGGCGGGGGAGGAGGGCCCCGGGGGTCTGGGGAGCACAGGGCCCGGGAGTCAGGGGCGGGGGAGGAGGGGCCCGGGGGTCTGGGGAGCACAGGGCCCAGGAGTCAGGGCGGGGGAGGAGGGCCCCGGGGGTCTGGGGAGCACAGAGCCCGGGAGTCAGGGCGGGGGAGGGGGGCCCCCGGGGCCGGACCTCCCCGAGGACGTGCTGACGAGGGGGAGCGTTCGGGCTGCTCGTTACAACAGCATCAACCTCTCAACAGAGGGCGAGACTGGATGCGGGCTGCAGGCCAGTGACATGTCCAGATTCAGCCCTGAGCGCCGCCTGTGGGGAGGGCGGGGCCGGGCCTCACCGTGGACGGTCAGCGTGGCCTCGCTCTGCTGGCCTCCGGCTGCAAAGCTGTACCTCCCGGCCCGTGTCCCGTCCGCCTGGGCGATGACAAGTCTGTGTGCAAGCCCATCCTGCTCCAAGGCGAGTCCATCCTGGGCGCTGAGCTGAGAACAAGACCACAGAAGGCCGGTCACCCACCCCATGCAGCCCCTCCTGAAGCTGGCCAGGGCCTTTATCAACGCAGCCGCAGGAGGGAACGCCCATGCGTGCTCGGCAGGAGCCAGGACCCCCTTTTAGCGTCTCCTTAACCGTCCAGCGACCTGTGAGGTGGGTGGCACTGTTGGCCCAGAAACCAGCTGAGGATAAAGCTGAGCTCCAGAGCCCTGGGCCAACCCCACCGAGATGTTAGTAGGGGGTGAGGGCTGCTCAGGGAGTCCAGAGCCCGAAGGACAGACGTCAGCAGATGCTGGGACAAGAAGGCAGGTTGGATGGTAGCGGGAGGGCCAGAGGCCTGTCTGAGGAGCACTGAGCGGAATACAGGTCCACCCAGAGACAATCCTTTCCAAACACGCCAAGTTGTCAGCCATGTAAACTTCGCCGAGTCGGCGCTGTTACAGCAAAGAGTGAAATCTCTTTCTTGCAAAGCCGCTGCTGTCTGCCCCTCAGCTTCGCTCAGCCCTCCCGCGCAGGCTGCTTGGTAAAGTGGGGGCAACAGGGTGAGGGAGGGCAGTACCTTGACTCCGTCCTTAAACCAGGCTCCGGGGCCCAGGTCGCGTATGAGGGTGCAGGAGAGCACGGCAGCCTCCCCGCGCTCCACCTCCACGTCAGCCAGGCCCTGGGAGAAGTGGCCGGTGGGGCCTGGAGGGACATGGGGGGAGGGGGGCTGGGTGCCCAGGGACCGCCTCGCCCAGCTTCCCGTTGCACCCTGGGGGCCACATGTCCCGCCAGCAGGGCCAGACCACCCTGTTTTCTCCGCAGGGCTCAGGCTGGTACAGGGGGTCTGGGGGGCCAGGGAGATGAAGGGCCCTAGGTCACCCAAGGGGACGTCTGGTTGACCCACCAAGTCCAGTGCCTTGGACACAGGGGGTCAAGACAGACATGGGGAGGCCTCTCACCCTCGAGAAGCCTGCATCCTACCCATGCAGGGAGGAGGAGTAGCCTCCTGATTGGAGCAGAGGCCCCTGGAAATGGGGCTCAGGGCCAATAGCAAAGTCCTGGGCCCGGAGGCAGGCCTGGGAGCGGCCCTGCACCCCGGTGTACAAGGGGACCCCTGCTCCCCACCCCCCGAGCCAGGACAACCGAGAGGCACCTACCTCGGGCGTCCTCAGAGAAGCCACCAGTGCCAGGCTTGCGTCTGGACCTGGGGCTCAGGGTGGCGTCCCTCCTCCGGCCGTAGGCGTCTGACCCGCCGTCTCTGTCAGCTCTGCTGCTGCCCAGGTGGCTGGGGGGCTCCCCGGGGTACCCCGTGTCCTCTCCGCCAGGCGGCTGCCCCAGGTCTCTGGCCTCATCCGCACCCCCTCTCTTTGCTGCTCCAGGATCGACCCTGGACCAGGTCTGAGTCCTGCTCCTGTACGGGCCCAGCCTCCTCTCTGCCACGCCGGCCTCATCCACTGCCTCGTACTCGGCCAGGGCCTCTGGGCCATGGGCCCTGTCATCCCCAGCATCCAGGGAGCCCCTTCCTCTCCTGTGTCCTGTGCCCGGCGGAGCACCAGTCCCCTGACCCCATGACCCATCGCCAGGCTCTTTTCTGCCATAGGGACCATCCAGGCCATCCCGGGCCCCCTGTCGTCCTGAACCCCCGGGCTTTCGGGAGGAGCCGTCCTCCCCCCGAGCAGAAGTCCCCTTTCTGGGGGCACCTGAGTCTCCTGGACCACTAGCTCTGCTCCTGCCCAGACCCGAAGCTTTGCCATCCAGGAAGCCCAGGCTTCGCCCCCCACCAGCCTCCTCTCCATCTGGAGCCCCCTCCCAGCCCCAGGAGCCCTCTGGCCTTTCTCGGGTCCCCCCGAGAGTGGCGTCTTCCCCCTGGAGGGAGCTCGAAGCCCAGGGGCCTGGGGGCTGGTCCCAGGCTCCAGAGCTGTCTTGGCCAGACCCCCAGTCTTCCCCACCTGGGCCCCACGCGTGTCTTTCCCCGTGCCCACCGGCGGGCCCTGATGTGGATCTGCCCCTTTCTCCGGGCAACTGGCTGCTGTCCAGACCCTGGCCTGTGCCCACGGGAGCCCCCCGTCCGGCCCCCACCCTCTTGCCACCCAGCTGTGTGGCCCCGGTGCCCTGAGGGGCCAGTGCCCCCTGGACAGATTCCGGACCCCTGCCCACTGCTCCTGGACCTGATCTCCGGGAGTCCTGGTCTGGTCCGGATTCCTGAGCAGCTGACTCTGCCCAGGCCTCGCCCTGCACTGCCCTCCGACCATCAGGGACCCCGGAAGCCCCGCCCTCCCTGCTGGGAGCCCCTCTGTGCCCGGGGTACCCCGGGAGCCCAGAGCCGTCTTGCTGCCCTGCAACACCTGCCTTCCCCTCAGAACTCACAGCCCCCCACGCCTCAGGGGCGCCTGGGCGTCCAGAGCCCCGCAAACCACTCTCGGAATCCCATCCATCTGAGAGCCTCGGCGGGCCTCCTGGAACCCCCAGCATCCCTGGGCTCTCAGAGCCTGCCCCGTGAGCTGCACCATCCACGGTACCCGGCCGTCCGGCTATGCTGGAGCCCAGCCCCACACCTGCGCCTCCCACCAGCCCCGTCCCTCTGCCCGCCTCTGGACCATCCTTGGTGCTCGTGCCACTGTAGGGCCCCTCTGAGGCTGCCCCGCATCCCGATCCACGTCCCAGGGCTTCCTGGCCTCTGAATCCGCTGTCCTTACCCACCCCAGCCAGTGAGCCTGCTCCTCCAAATCCCCCTGAACCGTCTCTGAAGCCAACCTCATCCTCTGGCCCCATCGCCACAGGTCCTCTTGAGTCTCCCCTGTAACCTTCCTTACCCCCTGACTCCATTCCCCTAGCCCCTGCCCCCATTCCTCCAGAACCCCCTAAACCATCTCTATAACCATCCTTAGACCCTGAATCAACTCCCCCAGAACGCCCTAAACCATCCCCATAACCAGCCTTAGCCCCTGAATCAACTCCCCCAGAACCCCCTAAACCATCCCCATAACCAGCCTTAGCCCCTGAATCAACTCCCCCAGAACCCCCTAAACCATCCCGATAACCAGCTTTAGCGCCTGGCCCCATTCCCCCAGAACCCCCTAAACCATCCCTATAACCAGCCTCACCCCCTGAATCAACTCCCCCAGAACCCCCTAAACCATCCCCATAACCAGCCTTAGCGCCTGCCCCCATTCCTCCAGAACCCCCTAAACCATCCCAATAACCAGCCTTACCTCCTGAATCGACACCCCCAGAACCCCCTAAACCATCCCCATAACCAGCCTTAGCCCCTGAATCAACTCCCCCAGAACTCCCTAAACCATCTGCATAACCAGCCTTAGCGCCTGCCCCCATTCCCCCAGAACCCCCTAAGCCATCCCCATAACCAGCCTTAGCGCCTGCCCCCATTCCCCCAGAACCCCCTAGACCATCCCCATAACCAGCCTTAGCGCCTGCCCCCATTCCCCCAGAACCCCCTAGACCATCCCCATAACCAGCCTTAGCCCCTGAATCAACTCCCCCAGAACTCCCTAAACCATCTCCATAACCAGCCTTAGCGCCTGCCCCCATTCCCCCAGAACCCCCTAGACCATCCCCATAACCAGCCTTAGCGCCTGCCCCCATTCCCCCAGAACCCCCTAGACCATCCCCATAACCAGCCTTAGCACCTGCCCCCATTCCCCCAGAACCCCCTAGACCATCCCCATAACCAGCCTTAGCGCCTGCCCCCATTCCCCCAGAACCCCCTAGACCATCCCCATAACCAGCCTTAGCGCCTGCCCCCATTCCCCCAGAACCCCCTAGACCATCCCCATAACCAGCCTTAGCGCCTGCCCCCATTTCCCCAGAACCCCCTAGACCATCCCCATAACCAGCCTTAGCGCCTGCCCCCATTCCCCCAGAACCCCCTAGACCATCCCCATAACCAGCCTTAGCGCCTGCCCCCATTCCCCCAGAACCCCCTAGACCATCCCCATAACCAGCCTTAGCGCCTGCCCCCATTCCCCCAGAACCCCCTAGACCATCCCCATAACCAGCCTTAGCGCCTGCCCCCATTCCCCCAGAACCCCCTAGACCATCCCCATAACCAGCCTTAGCGCCTGCCCCCATTCCCCCAGAACCCCCTAGACCATCCCCATAACCAGCCTTAGCGCCTGCCCCCATTCCCCCAGAACCCCCTAGACCATCCCCATAACCAGCCTTAGCGCCTGCCCCCATTCCCCCAGAACCCCCTAGACCATCCCCATAACCAGCCTTAGCGCCTGCCCCCATTCCCCCAGAACCCCCTAGACCATCCCCATAACCAGCCTTAGCGCCTGCCCCCATTCCCCCAGAACCCCCTAGACCATCCCCATAACCAGCCTTAGCGCCTGCCCCCATTCCCCCAGAACCCCCTAGACCATCCCCATAACCAGCCTTAGCCCCTGAATCAACTCCCCCAGAACTCCCTAAACCATCTCCATAACCAGCCTTAGCGCCTGCCCCCATTCCCCCAGAACCCCCTAGACCATCCCCATAACCAGCCTTAGCGCCTGCCCCCATTCCCCCAGAACCCCCTAGACCATCCCCATAACCAGCCTTAGCGCCTGCCCCCATTCCCCCAGAACCCCCTAGACCATCCCCATAACCAGCCTTAGCGCCTGCCCCCATTCCCCCAGAACCCCCTAGACCATCCCCATAACCAGCCTTAGCGCCTGCCCCCATTCCCCCAGAACCCCCTAGACCATCCCCATAACCAGCCTTAGCGCCTGCCCCCATTCCCCCAGAACCCCCTAAACCATCCCCATAACCAGCCTTAGCGCCTGCCCCCATTCCCCCAGAACCCCCTAGACCATCCCCATAACCAGCCTTAGCCCCTGAATCAACTCCCCCAGAACTCCCTAAACCATCTCCATAACCAGCCTTAGCGCCTGCCCCCATTCCCCCAGAACCCCCTAGACCATCCCCATAACCAGCCTTAGCGCCTGCCCCCATTCCCCCAGAACCCCCTAGACCATCCCCATAACCAGCCTTAGCGCCTGCCCCCATTCCCCCAGAACCCCCTAGACCATCCCCATAACCAGCCTTAGCGCCTGCCCCCATTCCCCCAGAACCCCCTAGACCATCCCCATAACCAGCCTTAGCGCCTGCCCCCATTCCCCCAGAACCCCCTAGACCATCCCCATAACCAGCCTTAGCGCCTGCCCCCATTCCCCCAGAACCCCCTAAGCCATCCCCATAACCAGCCTTAGCGCCTGCCCCCATTCCCCCAGAACCCCCTAGACCATCCCCATAACCAGCCTTAGCGCCTGCCCCCATTCCCCCAGAACCCCCTAGACCATCCCCATAACCAGCCTTAGCGCCTGCCCCCATTCCCCCAGAACCCCCTAGACCATCCCCATAACCAGCCTTAGCGCCTGCCCCCATTCCCCCAGAACCCCCTAGACCATCCCCATAACCAGCCTTAGCGCCTGCCCCCATTCCCCCAGAACCCCCTAGACCATCCCCATAACCAGCCTTAGCGCCTGCCCCCATTCCCCCAGAACCCCCTAGACCATCCCCATAACCAGCCTTAGCGCCTGCCCCCATTCCCCCAGAACCCCCTAGACCATCCCCATAACCAGCCTTAGCGCCTGCCCCCATTCCCCCAGAACCCCCTAGACCATCCCCATAACCAGCCTTAGCGCCTGCCCCCATTCCCCCAGAACCCCCTAGACCATCCCCATAACCAGCCTTAGCCCCTGAATCAACTCCCCCAGAACTCCCTAAACCATCTCCATAACCAGCCTTAGCGCCTGCCCCCATTCCCCCAGAACCCCTTAAACCTTCTCTATAGCCTGCCTCACCCCATGACCCTGATTCCCCAGAACGCCCTGAACCATCCCCATAACCCACTCTAGCCCCTGAATCAACACTCCCAGAACCCCCTAAACCATTCCTGTAACCTGCCTCACCCCATGACCTTGAGTCCCCAGAACCCACTAAACCACCCATGTGACCCGCCTTAGTCCCTGCCCCTATTCCTCCAGGGCCCCCCACACCATCTCTAAAGGCCGCCTCCCCACCTAGCTCTACCCCGCCAGGCCCAAGACCCCTGGACCCTCCTCTGTAAGCTGACCTGCCTTCTATTGACTGAGGCCCTAGAGTGCCTGACCCATCCCCACAGCTCAGCAGTTCACCAGATGCATCAGCCCACTGGCCCTCAAGGGCCACCCCCGCATGGGACGCTGATGCCTGGGGCCCCCCGGGAGCGCCCCCCGGACCTGCCCCAGCTGCAGAGACCCCCACCCCGAGGCCTCTGCCACCACCCCCGTCCCAAGACTCTGCTCCCCCCAGGCCCCCAGCACGGCCAAAACCCGGGGCTCCCGGCCCGCCTAAGCCATCACTGAAACCGGCTCTATAGGCCGGGCCTGCTCCCCCGGGATACCCGGAGCCCTCACCCAGCCCAGACTCCATCCCCTCCGGGCCTCCAAGGCCACCCACGTGGCCCACCCCACCTCTGGGTGCTTTCTCTCTGGAGCCCCGGGACCTGTCCCAGAAACCTGGCTCAGACCCCATGGCCCCTGAGTCTCTCAGCCCGTCCGTGTCTCCCAGGGTCCCTCCAGGGCCTGAAGACTCACTGAGCTTGTAGCTTCTGGCATCAGACCCGGTCAGCCCCGCCGCCTGGGGCCCACCTGCACCCCCTCGCTCCCCACCAGACACCAGCGCTCCAGGCCTGCCGTGGGCCCCGGTTTTGCTGGGGCCGGACCCAGTGTCTTCCCAAGGGCCTGGGCCCATAGCCTCGCCTGGAGCCCTCTGACCAGTGGTCCAGGCCTGGGGATCCTGGGCCCCGCTGGAGCTGCGGCCCACCTCACCCAAGGCCCCCACAGACTCTGGGCCCTCCCTTGCCCTGAGCCCCCGTGGGCCCCCTCTCCAGCCCCCAGGACCCCCTGGGCCTCCGTCATCTGCCTCTGCCCCAGTTTTGGCCTCCGGAGCCCCGCGCCCCTGGAGGAAGCTTTCGCCCCCAGATACAGGTGGCTCCTGGAGGTGCCGGCCTGCAAATGCCCCTGAGCCCCAGGAGCCCCTTGCATCTCCGTGGTCAGCATCGCTCGCTTTTTCAGAGCCCCAGGACTCAGGGCCCCAGCCTGCCATGGAGTTAGAGCCTCGTCCTCCTATAGGCTTCAGCGCTCCGGGACTCCCTGCCCCATGGCCACCTCCAGCGCCCCCCGGGCCAGCCCTGTGGCCCCACCCTGGGCCCGCCATGCCTCTTCCCACCCCATCACTCAGACCGTGCTCTCCCCCCAGCTCACCCAGGCTCTGCCCCTGCAGAATCTCCGATCCTTGACCTTCTAAGCCAGCCCCTGCAGGACCAGCCTGGGCTCCCCACGGGGCCCGCTCCCCCAGCCCTCCAGCCTCAGGCCGCCAGGACCCCGCCTCCAAGGCTCCCACTGGTCCTGCACCGTCTCTGCTGCGACCTCGCTGCTGGGCTCCCGCAAGTCCCAGCCCGGATTCCAAGCCCCCTCCTAAGCTTCCCGGAAGGCTCCGGTCCCCTCCTCTCCCTCCGTGGAGCTGGTCGACCCCAAGACCCGGGACTCTGCCTCCCTCCTCTTCCAGAAAGCCCTCTCTGGCCTGTCCAGGGCCCCAGGCTGCATGAGCTGCCTCCTCATCCCCCATCGAGGAGTGGCCAGGCCCTCCCAGGCCGCCCCTAACTGGGCTGGCTGTGGCCCCAGAGGCCAGCCCAGCTCTCTGGAGGGAGCTCCCTGTGGGGCCCTGCTCTCTGGATCTACCCCCCTCCCCATGGGCGCTCCTGAAATCTTCTGGGCTCTGGCCTTCTTGTGCCTGTCTCTGGCAGTCAGCGCTTGTGGTCAGAAGGCTCTTATCCTTCCCAGCTTTGGTAAGAGGTCACGCCCCCAGAGAGAGAGAAGAGAAAAGCCCTGTTAAATCAGGCCAAGGCGCCTCTCAGACCCCAGCAGTTTCCCCAGGTGCCTGACCCTCAGTTTCCCCAACAGAGAAGCAAGCCGGCCATCTCCGGAGGAAGCCAGGCAGACCAGCTCACTGGTGGCTCATCCCGTCACTGCCTCCCCGGTCCTGTGCCTGAGGGCCCCACCCCCACCCTGCTCGGTGGTTTAGGAGGACTTCAGGAGAAAATACAAAAGCCAAAAGTCATTTGCCACCTGGAGTTGCCTTGCTGTTTTTTTTTCCCTTTAAATCAACTTGTTCTATTGCCTGTCTTACGAATGTCAACTTTAGTTTCCTGGGATCGCCTTGAACCCAGAACCCTAAGGGGGTTTAAGGATGCTCTTTGGCCTGACCCAGGGGCTCCTCATCCAGAGTGGACCTAGCCCACTGTCCTCAGCCCCATCCAGGACCCCAGGGCCACCTTGGATCTGTGCCCAATGGAGCAGACACCGCTGGGGAGGGTGGGCTCTCGCATTGCAGGCATGGAGAATGGCTCTCGGGGGCCTTCCTGGCCTCCGGGGACGAGGGGTCCCCAGTGTAGGGCACTGACAGGGGAGCCCCGCCCCCCGGGGCCTCGGGTCCTTCCTTGGCCGAGGCGGGAGAGCCCGGGGTCCCCGCTCACCTTCCACCACCAGCCAGGCGCTGGAGGCATGGAGCTTGGTGCCCAGGGAGTAGAGGCCCATGTCGGAGAAGCGGACCCCTCGCACCAGCAGCCGGTGCCTCAGCCCATCCGGGGACACGAACGTCTCGTACTTGTCACTGAGGTGGAGCGGCCGGTGCTGAAACCTCCAGGCGGCGCTGGAGCAGGGGCTGGACAGGGTGCACTCGAAGACGGCGTCCCCCCGCTCCTCGCAGCGGACATCGGCCAGTGGGACCACCACGTGGGGAGGGATGGCTGCAGGCAGATGCAGGGCGTGACCCGACGCGGGGCGCCAGAGCCCGGGGCGCCCAGGGCAGGCCGGCTGGGCCACGGCTGCCGGCGTCACCTTGGACAGGTCACCCCTCACCCCAGGTGTCGGTTTCTCCACATAAAGTGAGTTATAATTAGGCTGTGAACAGTGAGACACGACTGTGAGATTCTGCAATTCTAAATCTGAACCTTCTCTCCGGGGGCAGGTAGGTTCAGGAAGGAAAATGGACAGGCTGAATACGGAGCCTCATACCTGTCATCCGACAGATCCTCACGACCACCTCCAAGGCAGGCATTGCTATTACCCTTTATGAGGTCTGAAAATTGAGGCTTTACAAGCTAAATGGCTCCCACAGCTAAGAGGTGGTCCAGCCAGAATTCACAGGCAGGCCTGGCTGAGCCCAGGGTACCTGCCCCCTTCCCCGTCCACCATGCCGGGCCAGCTGGAGATCTCACCCCCTCTTCAGCCTGACTCAACCTCGTCCTCCGTGGTTTATCTGCAGAAAGCTTCCCCCACCCTAGGGGTCAGCTCCCTCCACACCCCGCCCCCCCGGCTGTCAGGCACTGGGGTGGGGGGTTGGTGGTGGAAAGGGACAGAGTTTGATGATGGAGGAAGGGACCGTTCCTGGGGGGGACGGGGGAGGCAGGGAGGGGAGAGGTGACACAGTGGAGCTTCTTGCTGGGGTCAAGGAGGGGGCATGCCTCAGAAGGGAGGCTGTGGAACTGGTCAGCTCTGGCCTGAGAGGGAGTGAATGCTGAGGATGGACCGTGAGCGTTGCCAAGAGCCCACGTCTGAAACCCTCAGCGCCCAGCCAGGCACCAAGAGAACACGGACCATGGCTTTTGCAAAGGGATTGTCATCATTTAACTGCTGGGCCTGAGCTCCTCTACCGGACACCGAGGGGGCCGCATCCCATCCCGCTGGAAGGCATGCAGGCGCCCGCCCAGACGCTCAGGGCAGACCACTTACCACTGGCCTCCAGCTCCGTGGTGAAGACGTGGGCATCCTCCACCCGGACCTGGTAGATGCCGGCATCCTCCGGCTTCAGGTCCTGGATTTGGAACTGGTAGTGCTTCCCCAGACGCCGCAGACTGTGTTTGGTCTGGTTGTTGAAGCCGTAGGGGACCATCTCGCCATCCTGGGGCCAGGGGAGGAAGAGGGGGGCGCACGGCCTCCATGGGTCCACGGCTCCTCCTGCCCCCATCCTGCTTGCCGATGGCCAGCCGTGCTCCCCACTGGCCTCGGCACCAAAGGACACTTCTGGACCAGGAGGGTGGGGCGGAGAGGGGTGGGGAGGAGGCCCTGAGTGTGCGGCGGAGAGAAATACATGCTCTAGGAATATCCATGGCTCTGACACGGAGTAAATGATCTGCCGGCATTATGCAAGAGACACCCGAGAGTGCTGAGCCGGCAGGTGGGCGGGCGGAGCGGACCTACTTCCCGAGCAGGGCAAGGGAGGCAGCAGGGTGGCCGGTCCCCCGCGCTCTCATTCATGAGGAACCGGAGTACTACCAGTGGCCCGTGCATATGCCCACTTCAGCCAAGCCCTGGATAGACTGGCTCCTTGCTGGCCATCCCTGACCCATGAAGGTGCGCTTGGTGATTTTCTGACTTTGGTGCAAAAGCGATGCACGTTCAGGAGAAACTCTGCTTGGAATTCTGGTCTTTCCCAGGCTAGAGATGGGCAGTGCAGCCCCGGTGGCTGGGTCACAGAAGTGACCCACCCATACACTTAGAACTGCTCTGTACCAGGCCATCGTCTGTTTTTCACTTTGGGTACAGGCAGGCATGCATTCTCAGTCGCTCAGGCATGTTTGACTCTTTGCGACCCCATGGCCTGTAGCCCACCAGTCTCCTCTGTCCATGGGATTCTCCCGGCAAGAACACTGGAGTGGGTTGCCATTTCCTTCTCCAGGGGATCTTCCGGACTCAGGTATCGAACCCAGGTCTCCCTCATTGCAGGCAGACAGTTTACCATCTGAGCCACCAGGAAAGCCCATTATCAGCTATACACCAATATAAAATAAATTTTTTTAGAAAGCACTACATGGGGGCCAGGGTGTCTCTGCAGGGAAGAGTTAGCCATGTGGATGGCGGGGAAGGCCATGGTGGACAGAGGAACAGAGGGGAGGCTGGTGAGAGGTGGGGAGGGGTGCACAGGAGGGGTAGGGGAGAGGCGTTCGTGCACGCTCACTGATCAGCTGGACACCCCAAGAGACCCAGTCGTGCATTATGCTGACACCACAAATGAGGCCGCTGAGCACAGAGAGGTATGTGTCTTGCCTGAGGTCACACAGCCAGGAAGTGTGACGCCCCAGCCCACGCCCTCTAGATCCCTGCCCCGCCCCCACCTCGAGGGGCCCATGCAGAGGTGTGTCTGGAGAGAGAGCTCAGAGGCGAGCGGTGCACTTCTAAGAACCCTCTTTTGACCCCATGCCCTGGCTGGACACCCTGGACCTGACCGCAGCAAAGTCGGAAGGAACTCACTGTTCCTCTCGACGCTGCTCACGCCGATCCTGGACCAGCAGCAGCCCTGCCAGACCCCCCTCCCCCGATGGCTCCCCCCAGACTCACCTTGTACAGGTAAATCTTGCTCTCAGGACTCTTGAGGTCCAGCTCCAGGCCAAAGGTTGCGATCCCCTCCTTGTTGACCCGCACATGTCTCAGGTTGGCGATGGTGTTGAGGTACTAGGGAAGATGAACCCGTCAGGGGGCCCTCTGAGTGCGCTCCCTGGGGCTCCAGGTCCTCCGGCCCCAGCCCCCGGCAGCCCCCGAGCACGCATGTGCTGGGTTACAAGCGGGAGGCTGGGTCCTGCGTCAAGGCTGAGCAGATAGCCTGGAGCAGGAAAGCTGGGCCCAGGCATGGGAGGTTGGATGAAGCACCTTCAAGCTGATAACACTATTCTCAAGGTAATGCAAGCAAGTAGAAGAAAAAGTAGACTTCTAGGGCTAGATTAGACTCAGGGAAAACTTCCCGGTTCTCTGTCACTTTGCAAGCGGCTGGAAGCCTGTCTCCCAGAAGCCTTTAGAAATAAGACAGACACCCAGGGTCAGGTGATGCGGACCTCAAGCCTTTGCTGAGCTTAATGCTTTGAGTACATCCTCTGACCACCCCTCAGTAACCCTGCGAGGCAGGATGCCTGTAACACCCACTTTACAAAGGAAGGAAACCAAGACCCAGGAGCCCTAACTTTTCCAAGGCCCCAGATTTCAGTGAGTGTCCGAGCCAGCCCTCAAAGCCAGGACGTGGGTCCCTAGCTGACGCCCCCTCCACGGCTGCCGCTGCCGGTGTGAGCTCCCCCGCCCCCAGCGCCCCAGGCGGCGGCAGGGGCCGCGGGGCGGGGCGGGCGGGCGGTACCGGCGCCAGCTTCTCCTCGCGCTCCTTGCTCATCCGCTGCAGCCGCCGCAGCATCCCGCGGAAGTCCACGATGCCATACTTGAGGCAGATCTGCTCGTAGTCCTTCCGGTCCGCCGTCATCAGCAGCTGCCACACCCGCTCCATGTCCACCTCCTTCTTGGGGGCGGGAGGCGGGTCCCTGGGGAGTGGGGTGGGCAGGTCAGAGCCCCGGCGAGCCCCAGGGGCCCGGCAGCCGGAGGGGGCGGGCGCTGCGCTGTCTTCCTGGAGGAAGAGGCCGCGGAGACGGAGACGGACTGACAGCCGGGCACCAGAGGGGCCCAGCGGCGGCAGGGCGGGGCCGCCCCGCAGCTCCGGGCTCCCAGGAGAAACTCCTAAGGACTCGTCTTGCGGCTTTCAGACCAGGGTGTCTGGGGGGACATTATTCCGTGGCTCAAGTGGAGCACATTTTACAGACAACCCAGAGAGCCGAGATGATTCTCTCAAGGATGCAGAGCTTAGAACTGCAGCCTGGGGTCCAGCGCTCCCAGCAAGCCCACCAGCCTTCAGCCATCAGCTGGGAGAACCCGCACTCCCCTGCCGGCGCTGGGAGGGGCGGCCAGTGTGAGCCCTGCCTGCAGTGGGGTGGGGGGCCTCCAGACCCCCTCCCCAGGACAGGCCCAGGCCCACCTCTTTTTCAGCATCTTCCGGAAGTCCACCAGCTCCTTCCTGAGGTCTAGAAAAGGAAAAGGAATGAGCCCCAGCCTCACGTGGGACTCCACGCGGCTCACAGAGGCTTCACTGTAGGAACCCGGGGGAGGGGCTGGAGAGGGGGCCTGTGGTCCATGGCAGACCACCAGGCTTTGGAAAGGAGCCCCCTCCTGTGGGCTGGTGATGGCCTGGGAAGCACCCCGAGGGCTTGACCAGGTGCGGGGTGCCGGCAGGAAGCAGCCCCTCCCCCAAAGACCCTAAGGAGATTTGGGACAACTTTCCACCTACCCTCTTGGGGCTCGTTGGGCCTCTTCCGATTCTTCCGAAAGCCAACTAGACCATCGGGAAGAGAGGAGGCGGTTAATGTGGGCAGGCGAGGAGAGACATGAGAAACCCTGGTGGGCTTTGAGAACCAGCGGCGCCCAGGCCCTGGCCCCCCAGTCCTCTCTAAGGCTGGCGGCCACCCAGGAAGCCAGGAAGAGAGAGCACGGCTGAGGGTCCGCTATCTCTGGCTCAGAGCATGACCGAGGGAGGCAGCCTGATCCCCACATCCTTCAGGGCGGCCCACTCACACGTCAGCAGGGCCGGGGGTGGCATGAATGCAGGGGGGAGCCACTGGTGACTGCACACGGAAGGGCATCTAAGGGGCAGCTGTCCTCCCCCTCCACCTGAGAGCTGCCATTTCAGGGCCCAGGCCTGGGGGCATCAAATACGCTCCCCGGGGAGGCCGGAGGGCAGGCCACTTGCCTTCCCGGCTCCGCTTGACACCAGGAGTGGCCAAGAGACATGACCTGGGCAGTGGGCACTGAGAGAGCAGGAACACACGAAATAAATGAGTGCTATAAATAATAATCTCTCTTCAAAATCCTAGTTTGCCACAGGTTTCCCATCTGAGTTTTGCAATGGTTACCTTAACAAGACAAGATACCTATGCCTCTGTCTCTGGGGGAGAAGTTCTCTGGCTTAGTTTTCCTAAAACCTTAAAACTTCTCCTGAAGAACAAAGAAGAATTTACACTGTACAGGACAATATGAAGTTCACGCTTCTTTCCTTGGTAGTCGTATCTATTTTCACAGTTGTAAGATTCTTTTTTATTGAAGTATAGTTGATCTACAATAATATATTAGCTTTTGTTTCCTGATAAAAGAACCAGATGTCCCAGGGCCACTCCTTCCCGGTTTCCTGCCTGCATGTGGGTTAGCCGAGTCTGTAGCAGCCAGCCTACAAGGTCGGGGTGGCACACCATGGGAGGCGTCTGGCTCCCCAAAACAGCCCCGAGCTCTGCCAGAGCCTGGATGCCCCACTGGGACTTCTCATCCTGGGCCTAGGAAAGTGGCTTTGCTTCTTGAGCCACATCGAGGAGGGTTTTCTGTTACTCGTGCAGAAAAGCATAACCAACTGAGAGATGAGATCTGCTTTCCAAGACACGTTTACTTTTGATTCCTTGCTGACGATTGCTTTGAAATTTTGGAAGCACGAGCAAACCAAAGCAACGCAAGTCTGAGGCAGGATCTGGCCTTTTTGTTACCTGTCCCCCCATTCTCACCCCACTCCACGCAGACTGGTACAAAACCGCAGAGGCCAAGAGAGGAAACTGAAGCCCCCTGAGTGAGTTAGCAGAAGACTGGACTAGAAACCAATGTTCAGACCCCAACTTCGCTCCTCAGGGCCAAGAGGACATCTCCCACCGCATCAGTGGGGCGCGCCCGTGGGCGTGAGCCTCCCCAGCCAGGGGCGGAGGCTGCGGCAGCGGATGAAGCCTGGGGCTCCGCACCCCCGGGGCTGCAGCCTCCATGGCCCCCCCACCCCCCAGCCTTGAGGCCTGATCCCCCTCAGGGCTCTCCCACACCCTGAGCCCCGGTGGGGCAGGAGGGAGGGGGGCAGGGCCAGGGGGCGGGCGGGCCCACCTTCGATCACCGTGAGCCTGGCCGAGCACGTGGCCTCTCCATAGGCATTCACTGCAGTGCAGCGGTACACGTCCGTGTCCTCGCCGGTCAGTTTATTGATCTGCAGAGAGGCCGAGGGCAGGGGAACAGGGCTAGCCGCCCCTTCCTCCAGTCACTGGACATAACCACTTTATAAAGATGAACAAGGCAAGCTCTTGTCTTCGTGACCCTTACTGTGTTCATCAGGAAAGCAGACCCAGAGACCAAACCTAGGTCAGGACTGCGGTGGGCAGAGAGTGGCTTCCCAGAGTCCAGTGGATCCAGGACTAACTACTGTCTCTGGTGTGTGCTGCAGGCCCCTTACCTGACCTCCCTGGACCTTAGCTTATTTACTTATAAAATGAGAATAATAATACCCACATATTGAACCCTGGTCGGGGAGTTAGGATCTTGCAAACTGTGCAGTGTGGCAAATAATAATAATAATAATAAATAAATAAACAAAAAAATTGGCACTTTCCTGGCAGTCCAGTGGTTAAAACCCAAAGCTCCCAGTGCAGGGCACATGGGTTCGATCCCTGGTCAGAGAATTAAGATCCTGCATGCCGCACAGCATGGCCAAAATAATAATAATAATAATAGTACCCCAAAACAGTGAGTGGTCAGGATTAAAATATACAGTCTAGTCTGCCCTCTTAGCGCAGCTGGCAGCGCATCAGTCTCATAAAATATACAGTCTAGGTCAAATGATCAGCCCAGGAGCAGGACATAGTAGGTGTTCTGTGATGTGTAACTGTAAATATTACTGATACTGACCAGTATCGACTGAGTGTTCACTGTAGGTAAGGCCTGGGTGAGGTTTACTACCTAAACCTTCAATGTTCATAAAAGCCCCATGAAGGAGGCAGCATTATCACCCCAATTCACAGAGGAAGAAAGAGGAGAGTAAAGTGACTTTTCAAGGCTGGGGTGGTAACCCAGGCAGCCTGCTTCCTTCAGGAAGCTCCAGCTCTCTCAGCAGAGGTCGGCCGACCTGCTGGTCTACCCTGGCTCTGGGAGGAGAAGGGAGGACCCCCCTCCCCTCGGGAGGACCGCAGTCCCTACCTGCAGCACGTGCTCCCTGCTGCCCGTGCTGGACGAAACCTGGTACTTGCTGGAGCTGCTGAGGTCCCCTTTGGAGCAGTGCCAGCGCACCCTGGGCCTGGGCTCCCCGCAGACCACAGCTCGGAAGGTGGCGTTCTTCCCTGCAGCCGGAAGAGGCGGGCGGGCAGTTTGACAGGTTGGGGGAGGACAGACAGGGAGTTTAATGCATGCTCGCCCCGTTGCTCTGGGCACTTCAGCTGCCCATTTCAAGAGGGGTGCCTGCCCTTGGTCCTGCGCTCACAGGCAGGAGCGCAGTCTCAGGCACCCAAGGGACGCCCTCTCCCATCTGTGTGTGCTGAGCCTGGGGTCCCTGAGGGCCAGGGCGGGGCAGGGGCCTGAGGGCTCTCCGGGGACTGAGGAGGGGGAGTCCTCTGTGGGTCCCGTGTCCACTCTCTGCGGGGGGATGGCTCGAAGGGGCAGGTCCTGAGACCCAGGGTTCCAGCCTCGGGAAAGAGCCCAGCTCCGTCCCTGCCTGGAAGCCGGGGTTGGGGGGGCTGCCTGCCCTCAGGCCCCCGCCGCGCCAGGAGTGTCTCAGCAGAGAAGAGTTTGGAGTAAAGATGCAAGTCCCCCACCCCTGGTGAGAGACACGGTTTCTCGTGACAGTGTTGCTGGGGATGTACAGTCAGCTTTAAGGGGGGAGGGGGCCTTATTCTCCTCCGGCCAGAACGCAGGGCTCTGAACCCGCTGGGGGCCTGTTCTGCGGAAAGGGCGCCCGCTCACCCCTCCCCGCGGCCCGTGCCCTCTGCTTCCCGGGTTCCATTCTCTGCAGCCTGTGGGCCGTGGGGCAGCCAGCAATGGGAGCCCCATTTCACTCCGTTTCAAGGGTGCCTCTGCAGGGCTGCTTGTGGGCCGGGAGAGGGCAGGGCCCAGGGCCTCCCCACGACCCCCTGCTCTCTGGCTCAGCACACCCCCACCCTCCTTCCCAGATGCTTGTCCCGTGGTAGGCCTGCACTCCTTTACCTCCCTGCTCCTCAGGCCCCGTGCCCTGTGGGGACCCGGCAACCCCAGGTGTAGGGCGAAGTGACAGACACAGGGGCTGGGGGCTGGGCTGGATCAGGGCCGGGCTCCCCCGTCCCCTCCAGGCCCCTCCCGGGCCTCACCCTCCTGCAGCGCCAAGGCAATGGGCCTCTGCACGAAGTCGGGCGTGCTGCAGCCTTTGGGCACCTCCTCCACCAGCTGCCAGATGCTCACACCCGGCGTGGAGGACTTCTTGAGGGATTTCCCTGGAGGAGATGGTGGGAAGGGAGGTGGGCCTCAGCTTAAACCTGTCGCCGGAGGGGGCCCCCTGCACCCCATGGTTGGGCAGGGCTGGCTCCCCAGCTCCTCCGGGGAGAAGGGCTTTGGGGCTTTCTAGCGGGTATGGTGGTGGTCTTCCCATGTGTGAGTGCCGCCCCCGGGGAGTGGCCACAGGTGCCCCAGGGAGACCCCAGGAGGGTCCCGGGAGAGAGGGGTGGGGAAGGGAGAGTGGAAAAGAGCTCTTGGTGGGAATCAGGGCCCATGGGGGAGTGGGTTCTGCACCCTGAATCCAGGAAAACAAGTTAAAACCCAAATCCGGAACAAGGCACATGCTCTGTGCCCTGCCCCCCGCCCTCCGCTGGTGGGCGCCATGCAGGTGAACGGAGTGGAAGGGGTGCTGCTCCCACCTGCCATGGTTCCGGCTCCTCTTCGGCGATGACTGATCTGAGAACAGAAGGCAGGATTGCTTAGAAAGGTCCAGGCGGTCTCCCCAGTCCTTCCCATACCTCGGCACCCCGGCCAGCCAGGGAGCTCCTCTCCCCCACTTGCTGGCCCAGCACGGCCCACCTCCCGGGGACCAGGGAGGGTAGGGCACTGCCCGCTTGGAATCTCACCCAGGGAAAGGAAACCGCGGATGAGCTACAAGCTGTGCTGGAGGCCTGGTGTGATGGTGGGGCCCTGGGCCCAAAGGACGCTCAGAGGGCAGGACACGGCCACCCCGAAGTCAGGAAAGCAAACTCCAGACCTCAGGGTCTCCCAGCTGTTCCTGGCCTGACCCCTTGACTGGGGATGAGAACTCTCCAGTGGCATCCTCTGGGACTGTGGGCCCCTCCACCAGCCCCGATGGTCTTGAGCAGGGCCTGCAGCCCTCCAGCTCCCACCCCACCCAATCTGGAATCCAGATCACCAGGCCTGCGGGCAAGGCTCCCTGGGCTGCCTGTAAGGTCTTCTAGCCCGGGACATCCAGATCCCCATAAATCCATCCACCCCCTCCAAAGCCAGTGAGTTATAACATCAGGTGGGCAAGAGTGCCTCCCAGGCCCCCTCTACCACCAGCAGCACCCCTCTGACTCCCACTCAATGGCATCCAACTGCCGTCCATCGAGGCCGATGGGGCGGGCCGCCAGGAGAGGGCAGGGGGCCTGGGGCTGGGCTAGGCTGGGCGCCGTTAAGACAGCCGTGAGTGGACCAGGGAGGGGGTGCCTTGAAAGAATTTCCCAGCAGTCCCACCCCCGGCGCGGTTGGCCCGTGGCCAAGGGTTCCATTTTGGAGATTCCATCTCCTGCCCAAAGAGCCCTCAATATAGAATCACATGACAAGGCACATTCCATCCTCCGAGCGAGGAGCCTCCATTTCACAACTGCCCACCCGCTGGCACCCCGGCCCGGGGCGTCCCCCCCACTGCCCGGCTGCGCCCCAGCGCGCTGGAATGCCGCAGTGCGCCAGCCGAGTTCTGGGGCGGTCACGGGCCACAGCCGCCGCTCTGCGGGGAGTCGCCGGGGCGGGCGAGGGGGACGGAGGGGAACCCAGCTGGCCACGGCAGAGGGGTGGGTGTGGGGGGCTCCGTGCCACCCACGCCCAGGACCACCACCCCGAGCCTGCCCGCCGCCTCCACCCTGGTGCAGTGAGCGCGGACGTCTTAGTCAGCATCTTCACCTTGTGTCTCCATCACCCTCGGTGGCTCTCGGTTACTTACTCAGCCGTTCACACGCCAGAAGCATAATCCTCCCGCGTCTGTCCCTCCCGCCTCCAGACCCCAGCTGAGACGGGAGAGCTGCCGAGCCCGCATGGGGACTCAGGGGGCCCACGTTGGCCAGCTCGCCCTCCCGACCTTGGCCTCTTCAGGGGTAAACCAGATCCGGGACAAGGTCAAAGGCGAAGGGCGAGAGATCCGTGTCGTTGGAGACCAGGTTGTGGTCCTCATGGAGGAGAGGGGTGCGTTGGGGAGGAGACGCTTTGCTCCAAGCTTTCTCCCACTTTGGAGAAGAATTTTAACTCTCTGCACCAGACGGCAGCTTGAGTCCCTGGGAATGTCTGCGGGTCTCCCCCAGGCCCTCAGCCCTCCACCCCCACCCCACCAGCTTCATCCAGCCCTCCCGCTTCCTGCTGCCTCCAGCTTCTCGATGCGTAGGAGTCAGGGCAGGGAGAGACACCTGGGGCTCTTCTCCCTGTTTGACCATGTTATTAATCAAGATGTGCTGAGTTCCAGACCGGAGGTCCTTATTCTGGACAGCTGCTCAGAGTGTTTAAGCTGGTCGGCGTTGCCAGCTGAGCAGCGCCGGGAGAGTCCCAGCTTGGGACGGAACCGCCCTAAAGACTTGCAGTAGCTCCGTCCTCCAAGCGTCCCCAGCCATCGGAGGGGATGTACCGCCCCGGGGGCCCTGGGTTCCCTGCCCCCTGCCTGCTCTTCCTGAGCAGAGAAGGGCGACGGGATCCCAGCCTCTTCTTCTCCGCCCCCGCCCCAGTGGGCAGCCAGGTGTGGAGGGCCCACTAACCTGGGTGCACAGCCGGCCTCCGGCCTCCCGGCCGCTCCCGCCTCCCCGCGTCCAGCTGCTGCCGGAGGCTCTGAATGGACTGCCGGTGGCCGGTGGCGCCGGGACAGATGTAGGTCACGGCGGACTCCCGCTGCCCCCGCCCCTCCCACTCAGCCCGCCTCCCTCCTCCTCCTCCTCCAGCCCAGGCTTGGCAGGGCAGGGCCCCCCCGGGGTTCCCGCCCTCGCCTCCCGGGAGGTCAGAGATGGAAGGGTCCTGTGACATGGGCTCATCCAACTCCGCGCAGAGCATTAAGCTCTCAACCAGATTGGCTTGCTCAAGCCTGCCTTGTTTATGTGATCCTGTTGGCGGGCGCCTTCTCATCATCCAGGGCCTTAATTTTTCCACTAAGCTGACCCCTGGAGACCCTTGACACCATAAGTCACACAGACACCCAAAGCCACTGCCCTCTTGGGAATCAGCATCTGAAGGGACACCACGCGGGCCCAGCCTTGGGGAGCTAGTCCCAGCCCCAGACAGACCAGAGGGTGTAACCTCTAAGTGGGGCAGGGGCAGGGCGAGACCCGGGGGTCTGCCTCCAGGAGGCCTCCCGGGAGGTGGTGAGCTCCCTGAGGTGGGAGAGCCGGCCCCGCCAGCCGGGCTGGGGGCTGAAGCAGGCAGGGCAGACGGCTGGGTGTCAGGACGTGCGGATGGAAGGTGGGAATCGAGGTGGGGGGCTGGTAACAGGTTTCTTTAGGAGGGGGGCGCAGGTGGACCCAGAAGGAGCCGGGGCACAGGGCCACTCCGTCTGCTGCGGGCAACCCCCGCTCAGTCCTTGAGGACAGGGAGCCGGTTTGTCGCATCCAGTAAGCAGGGCTTGATCACAGATCTGGACAAAGCGGAAGGCGAAGGGGCCGAGGTTCCTCTCGGGAGGGCACGGTGTGGCACACGCCCCTGGCACACCGCGGCCCCGGGCTCACTTGTGTGTGTGCTCCCGGGGGCAGGCGTCTGGCCTCTCACACTCGGGGCGGGGGGGGGTGTGCATGTGTATGTACACACGGGTTGTGTGTTCCCAGTGCTGCGTCGTCTGGGCTGGTGCGGGTAGCTTGTAGTCTCCCCAGAGCCCGAGGCAGCCCCCAGGCCTGCTCAGACGCGCCGGTCCGCTCCGCACTGGCCACGGTTCAGACGACTGGACTCTGAGGAGACGGGCCCACGGCTCTCACGCATCCTTTCCCCTCTGTCCTGCGTCCCGTGTCCTCTGTCAAAGGAACGTGATGTGCAGCCAGGTCGGCCACGCACACCATGGAGGTGAGACTTCCCTGCATCCCCCGTCCTGGGCCGGCAGTGGCGTGGGCCTCTGTGACGGCAGAGGGTGAGAAGAGGGTGCAAACAGGGTCGTCTAGCCCCCAGCCCAGCCCCTCCGAGGCATTCGCTGGCTGCCACGCAAGCCCATGTGGGGTGTTCTGACGTCCTTCAGGACCTCTCCCAGCGAGCCAGGGAAATCTTACACCCTTCCCTGGGCATGGCCTTCCCGGCCCTCCTGGGGGATGGAGGCTCAGGCCCCTGGGGCCCTTGGTTAGTGGAAGGCTCCCCACGTCCCAGAAGCGCCCTGGGCGGGGGCTGTGCTGTTTTCTCCCCCTGGGCGACTCTGGGTGAAGACACAGTCCGGTCTACTATCGCGCTCCTGTCCCCACAGGACCAGGAGCTCAGGCCCGCACGGGACCCCTCTTGCTCCCCATGGCTTGGGGCGACTGGGATGATCTCCAGAACCTTCTGGAGTCTTGTGACCTGCTGCCCGAGTGGGTTCCTGGGGTGAGGCCCGTGGATTTGGAGGCCGGGTGACTTCCTCCGATGCGGGGGAGCACTTGAACTCAGAGTCCATGACCTCTCTGTGCGGGTTGGGTCAGGATCTGCTGGCCTGGGGTGCAGGCGAATGTGCTGGGCAGGCTTCTGACTGAAGACCTGTACACACGTGCCCACGTACATACATCACAGCGACACCAAAAGACGGGACTCTGCAGAAATGAAAAGGCTGGACGGCTGCAGGATCTGGGCCCACGTATGGGCTGGGGTCAGACCCAGGGCTCCACTCCACCGCTCCTTCCTCGGGGAGGCCCAGCTGAGAGCTTGAGGGCACACACCCCCGCCCCCCGCCTCCCTCCAACCCCCAGCTGCTCTCCGGACCTGAACACACCCACCCCCCAGCACACAGCTGTCCGTGCCCGCCCCCCCAGCTCCAGCCCGCCACCGGTCAGGCTCAGTTCACGCCTTTCTCACCTCCTGCTTGTGACAAACCCCTGTGGCCTCCCAGGAATGAAGCCCTGAGCCCCGAGGGCAATTTCATGCTTGAAAGGCAGCTTTCAGCCTTGGAGACGCGAGCCTGGGCCCATGCTCTCCTGAGAAAGGGCCTGCAGACCCTGGCTTCCTGGAGGGCTGGGCCTCCGCGGGCCCAGTCTCCTGGGGCAGGTGGGGCCTCCCGGGGCTCAGGGCCCAACAGAACCTTCCAGAGCCTCCAGCAGCAACAAGACAAGTTCCCTTCCGGTGGGACACCCTTGAGTCTTTGATGACTCGGTCTGCACTTTCTTTATGTGAACACAGCCAACGTACAAGAGATACCCTGAGCCTCTCCAGGGTCCAACATTTGCTCCATCATGAAACACTCTCCATGACTAAACGCTCTCCATGATGAGTCACCTTTCCCGAGTCATCCCTGTCCTGTTTGCTGGGTTCCTTGTGTTTTCCATCCCTGCCGCTTGTTTTTTTACAGCTGGGGAGTGGAAACTCTTAAGGCCCTTCCTCCGTCCCCCACCTGCACCCCTGTCACCCCCAGAGCGCCATTTGCCCTCATGACAGCCCCGGAGGTGGACGCACCGCGTCGGTTCATGGAGAGGGAAGCCGGGCCGAGAGCCGTCGCCCAGGGCTCCCTCGGGCCGCGGCTCGTGAGTGATCCAGGCTGGGGCAGCGAGGGTGGGCTCATCTCGTTACAGCTCAGCCTCCTCCCCCTGACGTTCTGACTTTTAAAAATTAGATAAGTCAGCATTTACAAAAATAAAATAATAATAATAATAAAGTCGACATTTTCAGACTCCAAGCTGTATTCTTTGCTTGAGAACCTCATTGAAAGGCACACCAGGGCCTCTCAGAAGTTGAGATGGGCCCAGCTGTTTGCAATTTTTGAGCCTTCTGGTATTTTTTTGCAAGGAAGAAATGATAAAACAGGGCTAAAAGATGATTAGTAACCTGAAACTGTTAGAGCGATGTTTGTTCATCGGTTGTGTGCTCATTGCCCAGTCGTGTCCGACTCTTTGTGCCCCTGTGGGCTCCTTTGTGGGATTTTCCCAGCAGGAATACTGGAGTCGGTTGCCATTTCCTCCTCCAGGGGATCTTCCTCACTCAGGAATTGAACTCATGTCTTCTGTGTCTCCTGCATTGCAGGCAGATTCTTTACGACTGAGCCAACGGGGAAGCCCCATTAATTAGCTATACCCAATACAAACTTAAAAATAAATAAAATATGAGTAGTATATTTTAAATATTTACATTGAAGCACTTGGCACCTGTAGCCCAGAGACGCACACACCAGGGGCCGTCGTGGCTCCGACCACAGATGACCACTGGCGATGAACGGCTGATCCTTGGTGCTCTGCCAGTACTGCAGCGTGGGTGTGAACACCATCTGTGCATGAAGATGCAAAACGTGTCCTTGTCTTTCGCTCCCATCAGTGTTTCCTCTGACCACGTGGATGACCTACTGGAGATTGTGGGGGCCCTGCCTCAGGAGCACTGGAGGTAGCCCAGCTCAGTCTCCTGACTTAGACCCTGGGGCCCCTTGGAGGCCCCAGCCGTGCAGAAGCCTGTTTGCCCCTGAATCTGAGCTCCTGGTGGTGGCCGAGCTTTCTCCACCACGGACAACCCTCCCCCATTCCCGACCCACATGCTTGTCCGCTCCAGCTCGGGCACACCGGCCCCTCGACCCCTGCATTCACCCTCTCTCCTGTCCGCAGGATGACCCGCCCGCCCTCCTGTGACCCCCACGTGGAGCATCTGGTCCCTGTGGCCCACGGGCTCCGCTCGTGTCTCAGGCCTGCCTCCCCCTAGCCAGGGGTCCCCCAGGGCCCGTGATGCCTGCTTCCACCCTGCACCCACAGCCCCCGGGCTGGCAGCTGGTCAGAAGTGTCTCTACCCTGTGCCCTCCGCACCCCGCAAGGACGCGTCCCCTCTGGGCAAAGGAGAGCTCCGCCTGTCCTGGGGGGGGGCCTCTGGGCTGGAAGGGCCTTCTCCAGCAGGCCCACCCCCGCCAGCACTCATAGTGATTTATGCACCTGCCAGGAAGTTGGTATTTGTTTTGGAGTGGGTGAGGAGCCGCGAGAGGGTGCCAGGCAGAGAAGTGACAGGGCTGTGTTTTAGGAAGAACTCTTGGGTGTCAAATGTTGTCTAAATTGAGTGGAGAAATGCTGAAGTCAGGACCTGTCTCCCCAGTAGACTGCACTTCCAGGGGAGGGGCTGGGTCTCCCACATCAGCCCAGGGCTTCCAAGGGCGGGGATGGGGGCCCCCACCCCTGTGCCTAAGCCCGAGACACCCCCAGGGAGAGCTCGGTGCTGTGGGCTGCTTGACCCGGGGAAACTGAGGCCCAGTGGGGTCATGGCTGCCCCCAGACCCCCACGCCCACTGCCCAGCTGGGGCCAGGACCCCGGGCGCCCCGCCTCAGGTCCCAAGGGCAGCAGGGCTGCCTCCTGGGGTCGGCTGTGCTCTGTCTGGCACCAGCTCCCTGAATTCCCAGCAGCCTGGCCGCATGCAGCTGGTGCTAAAGATCAGGCTGAAACCCCATCCCCGACCTGCAGTGTGGCCTGGGGGCGCCGTGCCCAAGCAAGACGTCGTGGGCAGGGTCCAGCCCAGGGCAGGGCAGGGAGCTAGGCTGCAGCCAGCACTCGGGTCCTCAGGGACCCAGCCGTGGAGGAGACGTGGCTATCAGCGCCCCGCTGAGAGATCCATGGACGGGACCCTCCCCGGGTCCTGGAGCGGAGACCGCCTGCCCTGGGGTGGGGGCGGGCTCCCCTTCCTCCTCAGAGAGCTCCCGTCCAACCGGGAGGCTTCAGCCGCATGGCCAGGCCGCGGTAAACTGTGTCTGTCCCTTCCCCCGGCGGCGCCGGCGGCCACAGTAGGGATGGGAGCCACTGGTTCTGAGCCTCTGCAGTGGGTGGCTGAGCGGCATGGGCACTGTGGTGTCGCTAATCACCTCGCCTGCCTTTCCGGTTCCCCCCGGGGCGGTGGGCAGCCTCTGCCC